CGGTCTGTGCCCCGGGCTGAGTGGGAGGGCCGCCTCTCTCTGTAATTGTCTGTGCTCCGATCTGAAAGCTCACACAGAGGATTTTGGCCAGGAGCTGGACTCCAGCAATTCAACAAGTTGGAGTACTGTAGCAATATTTTATATTTTTAAAATTTACAAGTTGTAGTACACGGTTAGAAACTCTGAGCCCAATATATTGATTTTTAAATCCTAATATGGCTTGAACATCCGAAATGAACAAATATGCCCAAGAGTTTTCAAATCGCCCTCCTTTTGAAATCACTACCTGAATCTGTTGAGGGATGATTTCATTTCAAGTGGTAAATCCAGGCTCTTCATCAGATTAAAGAAATTTTGCTGGAGTCAGTTATTTTAAAAGAGTGGAGAGGGAGGCACCGGCCCATTCTGAAGGATGCCTTGCAGGGTGCTCGCTACGCAGAGAGAATCTCCAGCTCCGTGGAAGGTGAGACGTCTAGTGCTCTGACAACCCCTCCTCCACGCCGGTCCCAATAGTAAAATCCAGTAACGTACCGTTTTCTGGAAAAAAAAAAAATACTAGTAGAATTTTTGAAGGTATTTTTGTGTATGTATGAAATGAAATACTTCAGAAAATTCTTTCTCCAAATTGCTAATTTAAAATATTTCTCTTTCAGGCCCTTCAATTGTGTCACCAGAAACTAACACTCATGTCCTTGTCACTGGCCTTTCCTGCTGTCCGTCTTGTTCTTGGCAAGGAAGGTGTGGCCCAGACTGTCCTGCGCAGCCTCCTGGGAGGGGGTGCAGCTGGGGGGCCAGGGAGAAGGGGGTGGGCACCAACACTTCCAGTTGTCCGGTCCTCCTGTGACAAGAAGGTTTTCAGTGAACAAGCTCGGGGCAGGGGGAGAAGGATATCAGGCCTGGCGGCACAAGGTCACAATGACACACTTTATCTCTATGACTGATTGAAATCCCACCTTCTGGAAATTGCAGTCTTCAAATCCGAACATCAGTCTGCAGCTGTGACAAATTTGGAGTTAGTGTTAAATCCACAGTTTAACTGTCTGAAGTAAAAACATGTGGTCAGATCACACATTTCGTGAAGCACTGACTTGAAGAACAACACTTTAGAGGGCCAGAGTAGGAAATCTTACTTTAATACCCCAAAGTCACTTCTTCTGTTTGCTGAAAAATATATAAAGGGTAAGAATTATCTGTGTCTTTGAAAACAGCTCTATCTCAAAATATTTATAGTCAGAAGATAATGTGGAGGTAGCTGAGTCTTATTACAGTGATGGCAGCTACCAAGATGTGAACATGAATTAAATGTCAAAACATAGTTTGGGATTAAATGATAAAATGCAAAACAATATTTTCTGAAGGACCTTATCTCTTATGTTTGTGAAAAAAAGAGCTGGATTGAATTTGAGATGAATTCATTGAATAGTTACCTTAGTTCTAAACTTCATTCTCCAGAAGTCTCATTATAGATGTTGATTGTATTCTGGATTTGTTCCTTTGATGGTGAGTGAGGACTCTGAATATGGAACAGGAAGAAGTCATGCTTATGGAGAAATGCGTCTAAATGGAGCGGGTCCCTCCAGCCACAGCCTCTCTTTCCAGTTGACCTCTTGTCACATGGTCATCTGGCACCTGATCCTTTGGGTAGTTGACTCTGCAGGGTGGGTATTGAGCAAACTAATTGAGGAACGACTGTTTTGTTTGAATTAAAACATACCTTTTGGTAACGTTAGTTCTGTCTAGATGTCTGCCATCAGAACCACTGTGGAAAATTCTTCCAGGACTGTAAATTAAGATGATCAGCTCTGGCCGTGGGGTCGCAGCCAGTCAGGACGAGAAGGAGCCGTGACTTTGCGGGGCTGCGGGGTGGCATCAGTTAAAAGCTGTGGAAGTCTTGTTTTTTATTTATTTCTTCCACTGTCCACTCATTTTTACAAGTTGTGTTTTGAAGTTTGAAGCTCTTGGACGTGATAATGTTAGTATCGTGTTAGGACCCCGATGGGTACATCATCTTCATTTATGAAAGCATGGGTCAGCAAAACCTTTCTTCCCGAGTTTGAAATACTAGAATTCCTTGAGGCTTGAACGAGGCAGTTTTAAAAGACAGGAAAGAACAACTTGTCGTAGAAGAGACTAAACATCTGATATTTCAATGAAACTTGATGGTTTACAACATTCTTTCCCATAATTATCTTACTTGACTTCTGTCTTAGCTCAGAGTACCACGCACGGACTGGGCAGCTTAAACGACGGAAGTGATTTTTCACCATTCCGAAGGCCGACGTTCAAGACGAAGGTGCACACAGGGTTTGGTGTCCGTCTGCTTCCCGGGAGCGCTCTTTCAGGCCGCCATCCTCTCGCTGGGTCCGGGCTGGCCTTTCTGCGGTGCTGAGAGCGAGTGAGCGAGCCCTGGTGTCAGTCCTGTAGGACCAGGGCCCCACCCTGCTGCCTCCTTCAGCCTTTTTCCCTCCTGAAGGTCAGATGTCCCGACACGCACACGTGGAGTTCGGGCCTGAACATAGCAGCCTCGGGGGAATGCAGTTCAGTCCACAGCAACTTCCCGAGGCTCACAGATCAAAGCCTCATTTTGCAGGTGCAGAAACCCAGTTTTGCAGAGATTTCAGTGACTGGGGCAGATGTGCTCAGAAAGGCAATTATAACAGATCTCACAGAGCAAATATTTGGAAAAAGAGTATTCTGGCTTAGCCCGAGCCATAGATAATAGGGTCTTCGAGTTCCATCAGACAAACATTAGACACGTTTATGATGTAATCTTCCCTCCCCACCTGTTAGGACTGTTAGTCCCGACTGTGGCAGGCATTAACTCATTTTTCCGCGGGTGATCACTTCTTAATATCACTTTTGAATTATCTCCCTGAGATCTGTACGTGAACAAGGTGACAGATTTAAATCGTCACTCTATGGCAAAGTCTGTCGAGGCAGAAACCCAGTTGTTTTTTCTCGAAATGTATTTTCTCTAATGGACATTTGCTTGTTCTTGGTGAGGTTCAAATGCTTATGTTAATGGCTAAAACTGGAAAACAGTATTGAACAGTGTGACAAATTCCATGAAGTAGATTCCTGGTTAACATGACCTCGGATAATCCAGTTTTCTAGTCTTCTGTTGCTCAGAAACTGTCTCTTGGAAGCATGAGATGTGCGATGTGTCACTAGGGACTGCTGGCCCCGTCCCCGTGCCACGCCTTGAACATAGTAGGAGCTCACTGCTTGCAGAGTGAGTGACTGGGTGGGAGGGTGAGAGAGTGACTCCCCTCCTCCATTTTTGCCCGTTCACACTCATAGAGACACTTGCTGTCGTGGGAAGTCGACTCTCTGGAAGTCAACTCTCTGTCTTTGTAGGGGGGATGGGGTGCTTCTCACAGCAGGAGCATCTCCAGCTTCCCCTACATGGGGGTTCACAGTCGTGTCTGCTTCTGCTCCTGCTGTGCTTTGACTCTGTGTGGACGAGAAGCATTCCTGGCATTTCAGAGAAGTTCTTAGATATGGTTCTAATTGGAGCCCACAGTGTCTGCACCACAAGAGTAAGTTTGTTCACTGTCTCTCTCCCTGGAATACAGTCTGGGACACGGAAGAAGTCAGAGCGATTGCTGACGGCCCTGAATTCCGGCTCTTTTCTGCATATGATTTTGTAAATGTTTCATCGGTTACAAATGGTACATGTGGAGGGGCCAACCCCATGGCTTAGTGGTTAAGTTTGGCACGCTCCGCTTCAGTGGCCTGGGTTTACAGGTTCAGATCCTGGGTGCAGACCTACACCACTCATCGGCCATGCTGTGTTGGCAACCCACATACAAAATGGAGGAGGATTGGCACAGATGTTAGCTCAGGGCTAGTCTTCCTCAGCCAAAAACAAAAAAATGTTACATTTGGAAAAAGGCTCAAAACAGTAAAATTTCACTTAAAATGTTTTTTATGTGTTTCTGTATATACACTTTTTAAAGGGATATTTGCTCTAATTTTTGGTTTCTCTCCTTTCAGCAGATAATGTATTCATTCCTAAGAATGAAACTACAGCTGGGTTTTACAGGTTGTAGAGGAGACACATTGCATGCACCACAGCAGGTTTCCACGGCCCGTTCAGGCTCTGCATCTTTGTTGCAGGAGCCCCACACTGTTCCTCCCACTCCCAGCTCCCTGCCCCTGCCCTGCAAACGCAGACGCTTCCTAGAGTCGTTCGTCTCAAAGTGCTTACACTTTCCCTTAAAGTGAAGAAAGCCGTTTCTGTTAGTATCATGCCTTTTTGAGGTAAAACCACAGCTCACTGCAGCTCTTCCTGGCCGCCCCGCCTCACGCCCGCGAGGCCCCGTATCTGGTGGGTGTGGGTTAACGGTCAGTCCGGATCACACCAGAGGTGCACACCGTCTGCCATGAGATTTAGTGTGTACGACGTGGGCTGTCCTCACCCAGGGCGCGTGCTTTTGTCAGCTTCCTGTCACCACCCACACCTTACACGTGGTCAGGCGCCTGTGTCAGAGGACAGGAAAATAATCCATCGCTCGTGGATTCATATGGGTTACTTAAAAAGCGGCTTCAAAGAGGTTGAACTCTGCAGAGAGGTATGAGGAAAGGGGAGCCAGTTTTGGGATTAGTGGAAAGAGAACACGTTTTAAAGCAGAATTGAGTGTGTTGCAACCTCACTGTTTATGACTTGGGGACACGTGGGCTGGTCATGTCCCTCACGGGGCTGTGCTCCCAGAGACAAAAGGGCGTAAGATGACCAACTCTGCAGGAGTGCCACGTGGATCTTAAATAACGCGTGTAATAGGGCCTGTTTTTATCAATGTTTGTGTTCCCATATGTAATACCACAGATTGAAGATTTGAAATTGTGTCATTACTTTAGTATTTAAGCAACGTTGCTTTGGAAATGTATTTTAAACAGTTACTTAAGTTTAAACTAAGAAGTTATAGACGCATTTTGCGTTCACTTTCCGATAGTGCATTTTAACCTAAACTTGGTTTGTTTTCTAAAATTTTTTAAAGCACAGAACTGTTACACTTCGCAGACAGCCTGTCGGCGGCCTGGGCCTGAGCATCAAGGTATGAACACGTTTTCCGGCCACGTTCCCCTTTGGTGAGCGTCTCCCTGTTGACCGTAACCCTCTCCCGTTGTCTGTCTTCCAGGGAGGCGCCGAGCACAGAGTCCCTGTCGTCATATCAAAAATATTCAAAGACCACGCAGGTAAAACAGCCAAACGACCTGTGCATGCGCTGCGACAGCTTGGAAGATAATATATTTAAGTGATAAAAATCCGCAACTCTTTATTTTGCTTGGTTATTCACGCTGCTCTTTTAGTTTTGTGCTTGTGTCTCATTTTGTCCCTGACATGACCCTGCCCTTTGCCATGCCGTCTAATGCCGCAGCCGTTAGGAGAGACACTGACTCCCGGTGTGGTGTAATGAGAGGCCCCCCAGAGGCACTGCCCCCTCGGTGGGTGAGCACTGGGTCATCTGAGGCAGGTTAAAACGTTGTGGGGAGTTAAATATAGAAGAAATCAGTGGTCTTCACCGTGTTTCCAATATGAAAGTCCGTTGCACCCGTCCAGCAGCGGCTTCCCAGGAGGCCGAGGATGAGGCTGGCCGTGGTGGTGCTGGGTTAGCTCATTCATTAATTGTTCACGGAGTGAAACCACGGCTCCCCGAATCCTCACCAGGAAGCAGCTGCCTTTACTGCAGCTCGCTGTCAACAGAGGGGCTGTGACCACGGGATGTCTAGCCCCATGCTCCTGGATGGAGGGTAGTTTCCATGAAAGGGGGATTTTCTGGTGCCATGAAATCACCCCATCAGAGGGCAGACCTGCTCCAGCTCCTAATCGGGTTCTCGCTTCCGGGTGGCTCCTCCTGTCCGCGTGGCTCCAAAAGGACACATCCTGCCTGATCGGGGAGGGGAGGTGACCCCTGAAGGTACACACCTGTGTGGGTGGGGGGATCACCTCTGTCCCTGAGGCCTGAGGTGGGCAGGGAGGGAGGCAGGCTCACCCAGCACTTGGACCTGAAACGGGACGGAAACAAGGGCCGTGGTGACCTTGTGGACCAGACTTTGGGACGGGGGACGGCCACTCTCAGTGGGAAATAGGCGGGTTTGGGGTGACGTGGGGAGTAAGCTCAGCTCGTACTTAGAACATTCCTACTCTTTTCCCTGATCACGCAGCCGTGAGCCCCGAGTTGGATGGCATGCGGCTGCCGCAGCCCCGGGACTACTGGGGCCTGGGGTCCCCGCCCAGCCTTGGCGGCAGTCCCTGGATGTAGGGACCATTTGCGTGCATTGTGAGTTTCCTCACGCTGACTTTGACTTCATTTGTGAGGAAAAGAGAGATTTTAGCAGAATGATGCACTGACAGATTTGCATCTGTGTGAAGAGCCATTTTTACCAAGAGCACGTTCAGGAGACAGCGTGACAGCACACTGTCCCCTTTTCGAGTGAGAGTTACGGGACCAGAATCGCAGTTCATGGCAGGTGGGGCTGTATTTAATCTGAATTGGAGGGCAGAGGGACCCAGACATCTCTGTCCTCAGCTCATCTGGGGAAGGAGGGCCCCTGGTGACGGGGTGCCCCCTTGTGCTCCCTGATAATGCTTTTCTGGTGACACACAAAAAATTCAGTTTTATAGGAAAACACATTTTTGATTGTGACCATAGATGACAGGAAAGAGCTACAGAGGTCTCTGAATCAAACGATTGATTTTTTGGAGGTTTTTAAAGCATTTCAAAACAAAGAGGATGATTGCTCTGGACTCAGGCGTTTCTGTTGTGCGTGTCGGGTGTAGTGGTCGTGGAGCTGAAGAGCTGGCAGACGCTCGGGGCTGCGGGGCATTTAAAGTGAGATTGTGCGTGGGAGGCGTGAATTGTGTGAGTGTGTTACTGGTGTTTAATTACTTCCGCACCGCTGTCCGCCTTTGGATTGGCCGGTTAATAGTTGAAGGGAGGAGTGTCAATGCGTTTCTGCTTCTCTAATCTTTGTGAACCTTCCCAGTGCTTTTTCGTTAGTGTGTTTTTTTATTTGTGATTGTGAATGTAAGTCTCAGAAAAGGACGGGGATACGGGAGTAAGATAAACGAGCAGACAAAAGCAGAGGACTTTATGCTCAATTCAGAGAGAAAATCTACGTGGTTGGTAGAGGGACGAACAGGTCAGGAGGCCACGTGCGATGCAGCTCGGCTGCGGCTTTAAGAAAGGCACCAGTCGCCTGAGTGTGCCCCATCTGTGAGCCGGAGAGTGGCCGGAGCTTGGGGTCCCGGCTGGGTGGGTGGGTGCTCAGAAGTACTGGGCCCAGTAGGTTCCCGGATTCTTACAGCTCTGGAGTCAGGACGTGCAGACACAGCTCTCTTCTGAACCCGAGGTTCTTCTCCCCGGCTGCCGGGAGGCGTCCCAATAACTCAAACCAGCAAGTCTCTAACTAGAGCCTCGTCTCCTCCGCCGCCTCCTCCTGCTCCTGCGGGTGACAGCTCGTCCTGAAAGCCAGGGGCCTGCCTCTGTGTCCAGCTGGTCTCCTCGCCCTGCTGCCTACCCCTCCTCTCCATCACCACGGCCCCACCTGGGTTCAGGCTCACGCACTGAGGCGCTGGACTCGGAGATCATGGCCAGCGGCCCTCCTGGCCCCGCGCCTCCTGCAGGTTGCTTCTGTGCTGCTGCCAGGCTTAGAGGCGTGTCCTAGTTTCTTCATTGTCTGCGTGTTCTATGCCCTCGCCTCTGCGCAGTCAGATGCTCTGTGAGCTCCAGGGGCAAGGCCTTGGTCTGATGAGGGTGTGTCTTCAGTGCTTGGTGGAGGATGATCGTTTGCACAGGGTGGGCTCTTGGCTGCCGTGTGTCTCTCTGTGAAACTGCCACACGGGTCTGGTGTCGGGAGAAAGACTGCGTGGGACCTCAGTGCCCCAAAGTGCAGGAGGCTGGGGGGCACGCATGAGGCAGCGAGCATATGTCGTTGAGAACCGATACCCAGTCCAGCTACCCAGGGAGTCTGGATTTGAGGAGGGAGATTGCAAACTCAGGGTAGTGAAGAGAGCTAGGAACACTGCAGGTCCCACAAGAGACCATGGGCACCCTGCTGTGTCTCCTGATGAGGGTAGGCGTCTGAGTATCCCCAGAAGAAAGGCATAGATCTCTGGGAGTTCTGTGTAGCTCAGTCTCTTCCCATGGGGACTCAGGAGCCTGCTGTGTGCCTGGCGTGGCCTTTAGGAATGAGGCAGCTGCAAACTGTAGGTCAAACCAGAATGTAAAATCACTTTTTCAGTCATCTGTCCATGAATTTATCCAACCACATGCACTGCGTAACTTCTATGGAAAAGACGCTCTTCTGGGCCTTCAGTGGGGACATCGCCATTGTGGAGGGTGTATTCCATTGCAGAAAACAGGCAGTAAATAATCTACGTTCAGACAGTGATGACTGCTGTGGAGATCATTGAGCAGTGTTAGGGAATGGAGAGTAACTGAGGATCACTGTTCTTTGTAATGTGGTCAGTGAAAAACTTTCTGCAGGCGACGTTTAAAGCGAATATTTGAGTGAAAGGGAGTAAGCAGGTCTTGACGGGAGCTTTCCGGACAGTGCGAAGCGGGAGGACAAAGACGTTGATACAGAAATGAGCGTGTTTGCTTCAGAAACAGAGTGAACGCCAGCTGGAAGGGCAGATGGGAAGTGCGCTGAGGTTGGGGGGAGCGGAGACCCTGAGTGAAGACAGGGGCAAGTTGTTCAGGGCCTGGAGTCCTTGCAAAGAACTTGGATTTTTTTCATGAGTAAGAGGGGTCACTTGAAGACTTTTCAAAAGTGGGGTGAAAGATCTGTTTTACGTATTATCGCTTGGGCTGCAGTAAGGAGAGCAGATTCTAGGGAGCCAGGGGCAAGTTAGAAGCCAGTGCTGCGCGCAGAGGGCTGCACTAGGGGACATGGGTGAAGCGGGCCAAGCGGTCAGGTTCTGGACGTGCTTTGAAGGTGAGCCTCAAGCATGGCTGAAGGGTCAGCTGTGATGCGTGAGAGAAGGGAGACACCTCGCCGGTCCATGATTCTTTTAGCCTCAGTAGCAGGTGAACGGGGACGCATTCAATGACAGGCAGGTGCTGGGGGTCAGGTGAGTGCTGGAAATAGAGGGTGGAGGGCAGGGAGTCAAGCACACCGTGAGGCGCCTGCTTGCTGGGCACTGGAGCTCCGTGTGTAAAGTCAGCCGGAGGAACAGGGTTGAGGGGTGGAAAAAAGGCATTTGAGTTAATGGACCTCAGCTGATTTCCTGGGGGCTTCATGTAGATAAGAGAGGACAACAGACCACAGAGGTGTGAGAAGGAGTAGGAGCAGCAGGGAGCCTGACGAGGCACCCAGTGACCGGGAGAGCAGCCACGGGGCTGGCGATGCCCACTGGTACCTTCGTTCCTTGGGAAGTGGTTCTCAGCCCCCGTGGGCGTGTGAATTACCTGCGGAGCGTGCCAAGCAGACGGATCCAGAGAGCCGACAGCGCCCTTCAGGTGCAGCCCATTGATGACTTCACCCGCTCCAAGCCCCCCCCCTCGCCTGCTACTGAGAGTCCACTGGGAGCTTGGTGCCATGGCCTCAGGCCCGCCGCCGGACATCTGCAGAGGCCGGGGTGGACACGAGTCTGAGGCTCGCCCCCCTGCAGATACAGTTCTGAACATGCAGATCTACCAATTCTGTAACATCTGGTGAGCTGTTTATACTATGAGGAAAATCCACAACTGTTACTACTTTGCTTAGTGGACAGTTTGTTAATGTCATAGATCTAATAGGCAGAAACTTGAAACTATCTTTTCTTGGACATTCAGCATTGACCATAAATTTCAGTTCCTTCAGTTCTTTAACCACTTCAGGTTGTCAGTATAAATTTCTCCGAGTCATTTGATCCCTTCAAACTTCAGAAAGATTAGACAAAACATCCACGAATCCTATGAGTAGAGGCACTCACTCACTCATTCATTCAGGGACAGACACAGAGCTGTGTGTGTGAGCATTGTCCTCGCTGCCGAGGGTGGAGGAGCAAGGAGAAGGCTGATTCCCTGCTCACGTGGAGCGTGTGCGCATTTCAGCGAGGACAGACACACGACAGAGGAAGACACAGCGACGTTACGTCAGGTGTGGATAGTACCATGAAGAAAAGATGTTTAAGTTTAGCCAATACGTTCTGCGTTCCAGGCATTAATCAGTGACCTTTTCCAATGCTGCAAGATAAGGACTGCTTTTCT